TTCTCCTGGGAACTAGTCAATTATTATTTTTATAGTTTAAACTTCAAGCATTTTTCTTTTTCACACTTGGAATATACTTGTAATACTTTGACAATATTTGGCTAGAATTATTTATTAGTTCTGGTGCAAGAGTGATTGCTTGGTCAAGAGCCAGATAGTAACTGTGTTCTGTTATATCAGAGAGACACTAGTCTCTGTTCCAACCATTCAACTCTGCTAATGCAATGCAAAATCAGTCAGATAGTAACTGTGTTCTGTTATATCAGAGAGACACTAGTTTCTGGTCCAACCATTCAACTCTGCTAATGCAATACAAAATCAGTCAGAGATGTGGCAATAAAGATACTTTCCATATTAATAATTTCATAATAATCAGTCAATACCCAGGCAGAACATAAAGCCCTAAGTTCAAACTCCATTACCAGAAAAAAAAAGGATCAGTTACGTGAAGAGCTTCCTCAACTTATAAGTAATTGCAATTCAAATTTGCTGAATAGTGTCAGGAGTCATAATTAACTATACTTGATATTCAAAAAATGTTAGATCTATTAGAAATGTTTGAGATAATGTCAAAAAGTGGTCGTTTTTTAATTTATCTCTTAATTAACACGTATCTAGTTCCTATTACACGCCAGGCCCTATGCAAGCAAATTGGAAAACACTAAGCTGAATAACAGCTACTGGCCAAGGACCAACCAGTCAAGCAGAAGGAACAGACATGAATGAGCTCAAAGTGAAAGTGTGCTGCAAGGGGAATGTGTGATTCCACATAGAGATCAAGGCATCAAAGAAAAGTTGGGGAGACCAAAAATCAGATGTTCTGATCAGCTAAATTGTTGTTTGACATTTGAAATTGCCATATAAGATAGAACCTTCTAGAATTTTTGACATATATGCCTGATTAACTCACATGTAATAAATTTGTTTCTGAATGTTAAGTATCATGTAGTACAGCCACTTAGTGTTGTGACTCTAGTTTGGATTTTTTTTCTTTTCTTTTTTTTTTTTTTATTTGGTCAGTCATGGGTCTTGAACTCTGGGCTTGGGTGCTGTCCCTGAGCTCTTCAGCTCAAGGCAAGTGCTCTACTACAGCACCACTTCAGATTTTCTTGTGGTTAATTGAAGATTAGAGTCTCATGGACGTTGCTGCCTAGGCTGGCTTTGAACAGTGATCCTCAGATCTCAGCTTCCTGAATAGTTAGGATTACAGGAGTGAGGTACTGGTACCTGGCTTTATTTTGGATTAAAAAAAAAGAATGAGTCATAAATTGCTTTATTAAATTATTGGACAAAATATAGTATTTCATGGATAGTACAGAATAAAAGAAATTTATAGCCAGTCATAACATTTTCAAATGAAAATATTGACTCAAACAAACACGAATCATAGCATGTACTGAGTATTCAAACTAGTAAATGGTGCTTATTACTTCTTGACAGTGTTATAAATTGTTACCCTTACTAATGTAACTCTACTTGAGATACTTTTTGAAGAAACTCAGTTGTCATAAGTCATTATGTGTGATTCTCATGGTTAAGAAAGAAGTGTGTATATAGATAGATATTTCTTTGAATCAGTTTAAGCATACAGCTCTGAAAATATAACGAAAAGTATGTATTACTTGGTCCACCTTTCAAGGATTTGGCATGATATTGCAACAAATAAACATGAGCTTTGAGTTATGATCCTAAAATGAAACTTCTCCAAAAAAATAAAATGTTGAACCTAAAGCTCTAAAGAGAAAGAGATCAAAGAGAGAATATGAAGAGAATGATTTAGTAGTCATAACTTCTGACAAGAATCATATAAAATATAAATTTACTCTGCAGATATCAAATATTTTTAAAGCTGGGGAATGGAAAATCTGACATTCTCTGGACTAAATGTAGATCTTTGAAATTCTAATTAAATAGCTGGGCACCAGTGGTTCATGCCTGAAATCCTAGCTATTCAGGAAGCTGAGATCTGAGAATCACAGTTCAAAGCCAGCCCTGGCAGACAGGCCGTGAGACTCTTATCTCCAATTAACCAGACTAGAAGTGGCTGTGTGGCTCCAAGTGGTAAAGTACTAGCCTTGAGCATCAAGAGCTCAGGGACAGCACTCAGGCCCTGAGTTCAAGCCTCACAATTGACAAAAAAGAAAAAGTATATACATATACATATATATGTAATGAAATATTATAATGTGTGGAATTAAAATCTATCTCTCCCCTTCTTTTCTTTCTTTTGACTGCCTGCAACTTTCAAATTCAAGAAAGTATAATCAAAACCATTATTTTACTTCTTTAAAAATCAAGTTCCAAAGGGGGTGTTAAAAGTAACAAAACGAATCGTCATATCTTGCTACTAGACCAGTTTTGTCGAACCTAGTTCATGTCTGCTCCATCTTCATTATACTACTTCATTATACTACTATTAATAGTAGTATAATAAATATATAATAAATATATTTTACAAATATTGTTTGTAGGGTATAGGCAGGTTTAAACAGGGACATGGGAATAATTAAGAAAAACATGGCTGAAATTGGAATGTGGATGTTCTAGGTTTCTGTCACTTGTCTTACTTTTGCTGAAAGCTTTAGACTATACTTTTTTTGGGGGGGGGTCCGGTAATGGGGCCTGAACTCTGGGCCTGGGAGCTATCCCTTAGCTCTTCAGCTCAAGGCTAGTGTTCTACCACTTGAGCCACAGCGCCACTTCCGGCTTTTTTCTTTTTGCTTATGTGGTGCTGAGGAATCGAACCCAGGGCCTCAAGCATACAAGGCAAACGCTCTACCACTGAGCCACCTTCCCAGCCCTAGACTATACTTTTTGCCATCAGTGTCAGGATAAGATGTGGACAGTGTTGTGTGGAAGGCAACTGAGCCTCCATCTAGATCATTTTCTGGCTTATCTTTATACAGATGGAAGAAATTTTTGATTAATTGGTACTGTCTAGAAGACAGCGCAGTTTAGAGTTTGCCTTCTGCAAAAGCCTCATCTGGCTTTTACTTACAGTGCATTAAGAGGCAAGTGATTTCTTCTTTTGTGCTTCACTTTCCTGAAAAAATAAATATGATAATATTATATACTGGTGAATAAACAAATCAGTACCTATATGGCACAGAAATATTGCCTAAAATATGTCAATCACCTTTGGCATTTGTGGTAGCAAGATTCAGGTTCAATGCTTTTTAATGCCTTTCAAGAGGCTTTGTGCCGAGCCACTGTGAGTCCATCAGCCGTGTTCATACCTGAAGGCAGCCTGTTTTCGTGCAGAGATCATCAGTATTAAAGCTGAGAACCTATGCTCAGATCTCAGCTCTGGAATTTTCTACATTGGAATTTCAACACGCCCTCAGCCCACTGAGCCTTGTGTGTAAAGCCGATAAAATGATTTATTTCCACCAAATTGTGTTAAGGATTAGCTAAATATACACATAGTAAGCTTTGAATAAATACTGAATAGTAGCAGTCACAAATAATTTCCATGGTGATAAATGTACTTACTGATAAGATGTAATCATAGTGCAAAGAACTGAAAATTACCACTGAAAAATAGTAAGCATTGATACATCATCACTACACAAATAGTGAGACTTTACTCAGAATATCGTCGCTACTGAAAACAGGATAAAATACTCAAGATTTTTGACTTGCTTCTCCCAGCCTTTACAGTTCTCCTCTGATCTTCCAGCAATCATGGCATTGTTAAATTGTGGATAGGAAACTAACCCAGCTCTTTCTGAGGGTCTTGTTAATGTTGTTCACTAGTGCATGTGCTCCTATCCATTAATTGCTTTTCTAACAAAGTAACATTCCTGACTTACTTGATCACTGGGGACTGTGTGACCCCGCTATACTTTTTTTTTGTTGTATTTCTTCATGGTTGGCTAGTATTCAGCTTTCTCTTTTATAGACTTGCTTGCTTCTAAGTTAGTTAACTGCACTGTTCTATTTGTGACCAGGAAACACAGAGGTGTTTAAGTAGAAAATAATGTAGTTTCTTTGCTAACTGCCATGATGTATGTGGTAGAACTTTGTCAACAAAGGGAAAATATGGTGTGACCAAATGGGGAAAGGCTTTTTCTTGCTCCCACCATCCCATCTCATTGAGAATAATGAATGCCAGGCTACTTCATTGCCGAGTAAGGATTTTGCCAAAATATACTGCCTTCAAGCAGAAATAACATGTTGCAGACGTTTTAAGAAGACAAATCTTCTGCTGTAGAAGTCACTGCTTACTGTATGCTGATCCCTATAACATTAACTCTGCTGTAAAAGCCCAACATATTAAAAAAGAGTTTTAAAGTAGCATATATTTTACAAATTGTGTGAGGGGAAGGGCAGTCATTGTAATATTTTAATATGGTCCATGTCAATATATCCAATCAAATTCACCCCTTTCATCTCCTCTCTCCTTTTTTTGTGCCTGTACTGTTTTAATTTATCTTTTATTGTCTTTAAGTAATTGTATAAAGGGGTTTTAATTCAAAAGAAATTCATTTATAGGTACAAAAGTTTTAGGCTCCTTGGTTTTTCTTAAAGCCGAGAATTTATTGAGTGACTTAAATTTTACCAATCACATGACTAGCTCAGGTTTTCAAGATACCTTTTATTTTTTAAATAATAATCTTTTGGAAGCATGAAATAGAGATGAGTGCATCTCAGTTACAATTTGACTTAAACGTACTCAAGACTGACTGGTGGTTGCTTTTTTCTGTCTTTGACCACATCAGAGTGCTTAGTGAGTTAAAAATGCAAAGACATGTATTGCTCTTTCATTTGTCAAGGTTGACTGCTTTTAAAAGCCAGACTCTGAGAATCAGGTTAGCCAGAGGATTTTATGACAAATCCTCCATAAATGCATGCCCATGTAAAAGCTAAATTAACAAAACTTTCCTCATCAAGTTTTCTCTTGCATGCCCATGGTAGCTAGACCACCACTAGCCGACCAGTCAGGGGCGTGGGTGTAAATTTAGAAGTGAAAACTCACATGTACTTATTCTTCTACGTAGTGTCTCTTCTTGCAGTCAAAACAGAGCCCTTGAACAGCAATGAAACCTCAACCACGACTGGAGATGGAGCGCTTGACACTTTTACTGGGTCAGGTAAAGCCTTTAGCTCGTGTGTCATTGTGTACACATTGAGGGGACCAACATTATCCTTCTCACAAACAGCTGCACACGGATCAGAACTGACAGCACTTTGATTTCAGAAAGTTGACACTAAACTCACTCTTTTGGAAAACAAATTGTCCTAAATTTACCTATTGTTAGAAATTCTATTTCTAATCAGTCCATGGGGTTGAGAATCGACAGTAGAACTAACTCTCAACTTTCTTGGCAGAGAAAAGCAGAGCTATTTTCATCCATCATTATTAATTTTATTATTATTATTATTATTATTGCCAGTCCTGGGGCTTGAACTCTGGGCCTGGGCACTTCCCTGAGCTCCTTTTACTCAAAGCTAGCACTCTACTACTTGAGCCACAGCTCCACTTCTGGCTTTTTCTGAGATTAATTGGAGATAAGAGTCTCACAGACTCCCCTACCTGAGATGGCTTCGATCTCGGCCTCCTGAATAGCTAGGATTACAGGTATGAGCCACCAGTGCCTGGTCTTCATCTTATTTCATACAATGTTTGATGAATTTCATCAGTAGGTCATCATTGCAAACTTTGTTCCTTCAACTGTCTATTTAAATTATATTTCAAAACTGCCTTTTCCATCCAACATTCTAGATGTAAAACTATCCCATTTGATTTCTTCTAAATAAGCTTGTTTCCTTTTCTGGTTTAAGAAAGTCCTCCTGTATGGCAGTTGAGTGACAAGTATTAAAGGTTAATGCACTGCCGGAGAACACATGCTGCTTGCATTAGAATCAGCCTCTGAGAGCAGCCTTGCTTCAAAGAGAGCAACAGAGTGTCTCTAAACATCAATCCTTATAGGATATAAAATACCTGATAACTCCCAGCTGGGTGCAAGGGACACAAGTTTTTTTGTTGTTTTGGTTACTTTGCTTGGCTTATTCAGTCCTAGTTCTTTTATTCTGCTGTATTGTATTTATATCCATCCATGATCTCATCTGTGATGATTTCATATGGGAGTTCTCTATGTAAAAAAGAATTGCAGTATGTCCTTAAGTAAAATGTCATGTCAGTGGATAATGCTACTTTTTTGGAAGCACAGCTGATCCAGGCTTACAGTTTTCACCATGTACTTGCCATGTGTTCACATAAACGTTAGTACTCCAAACAGAGATAAACAGTAGTAGTACATCAGCCAGCATTGCATAAAGGTCCTTATTTGCTAGTCTGCATTCTTTGTAGCAATTAATCTGCCTCCTCAGGAAACAAATAGCTACCACCACCCTCTGTTATACTGTGCTGTTTGTTCACTTGCTAATATAACTCTTGCAAGCAGTCTGCAAAGTAAATGAATGCGGGTAGGTTTTAAGGAATTGTGTGTAATTATAAAGTAATGGGCATCATCATGCTTCAAGAGTTTACACATTCATGAAAAGTTGAATGACAAAAAAGTATAGAATCTTTGCCCCCAGAGGATTTTCAGAGCCTTCTGGTTCATTTTGCAGACAAGAACACCATACAGTTGTGCCCACATAGTTAAGACCTGAATAGAGCCAGGTATAGTGGCTCACACTTGTAATGCCAGTGACTTGGAAGGTAGAAAAGGATCACGTTCCAAGGCCAGCCTTGATGAAATTAGGGAAACTCAACCTCAAGGAACAAGCTAGGCATGGTGACAAATGCCTATAATGCCAGCTAAATGAGAGGCAAAGGTAGGAAGAATGGAGTCTGAAGCCAGTTTCTGGCAAAACAATAGAAATCTTGTCTGAAAGATAAAGTTAAAAGAGTTTGGAGCGTGGCTCAAATGGTAGAGTGCTTGTGTAGCAAGCATGCAGCATTGAGTTCAAAACCTGAGTACCAAAGTGGAGGCAGTGGGGAGGGGGAATGAAAACCCTAATCCATGGTAGTGATATAGACAAATCTAGAACCATATACCAATAATTAGTCTCTGAGTCTTTTCCACCATACTCCACTGATAATTACCAAATGGAAAAAAGGAATAGCTATACACGATCTTATTTGAAATCAGATTCATATTATATTCCCAGATAGTTCCTTAGGTTTTGAAAAGAACATTTTGGAGCTATGCAGCCCAACAAAATAGCCATTCTTACAGGTAACTTTTTAAATTTAAATCAATTAAAATTTGGTAAAATAAATATTTGTAGTTGGAGACACACTAGCCACATTTCTAGGGCTTAATTGCTGCCCATGTCTGGTGGCACAGAGATGTAGAATGTGCCTAGCACCATGGCGAGCTCTGGCAGTCAGCAGGGATCTGAGGCAGGGACTCTCCTAGACCCATTTAAAGAAAACTGCATTCCCAAGAAACTTCGCCAAGCATTGTAAGGTGCTCAGCAGTATCCTTCATTTGCCTTGACTATCAGTAGCATCCTGCCCCAGTTGTAACACATCAAAATATATCCTGGCATGCAAAATTCTCCCCACTTCTCGTCCTATTGAGAGTTGGTGATCTAAGGTATTATAGTGATAAAAAAGAAACCCTTAAAATTGCTTAACATCATGCTTTCACAAACTGATAAAATTAATAGATTTTGAAAAATTAACCTTCAGACTAATGCATTTGGAGATAATCAGTTCTGGTTACTTTTGTATGCAGAAATGATAAAATATAATGAGTCTTGGGTATTGTTTATGGTTAATTAAATCATGATGAGGAATAAAAATGTTCTTTCACATTTGTGCATGGCATTGCCACCCATCTTCTTGGGGACTGAGTTGCCTTTGTAGGGACTGGTTTGTTTTGATCAGCATAATAACAACTCACTAAGTCCAATTTTGTTTTAGCTACAGTTTGCATTGGAATAAATTTTAGTAAAGAAGTATGAACTCTCCAGTTTTTGTTCCTTATGTGGCCAAAACTTCTGAGTCAGTTTTGTCTTGTATTTAGAAAATTACCATGCAGGCATATGTCAACAGTTAATTGAGCATTTGTAGTGTTATGGGTTTATTATTTTAATGGTGTCGAGATTCACTCAAAAGAAGAAAACATCCTACATATTCAAAACTGTATTCATGTCTAGGTTTTCTTCTGAGGAACAGACTTTTGTGCTTTGCCTTATTTAATTAAAACTGCTATAGGGAATTTTTGTTTGTAATTATATCATGTGTTTTTTGAAAACCCTTTTTTCAATTTTTACAATAACTGATTAGTAGACTTAATGTAAGTTTTAACTGTAACAACAAGAAATTACATTTTAGAAGACAAAATATCTTGTAATTAATGCCTCTTTGAACTGAATTGCTGTTAAAGAAAATATTCACTATTGAGAATACTTAAGTTAGACTGAATGTTCTGTGGAATAACATTATTACATCTTACGTTTTGGTGACTAATGGAGTATAATCCAAAGTCTGTTCTCATTAAGTTGAGTTGAAAGTATTAAAGTTTATATTTTAGGTTTTTAGAAAATTGAGTAACAAATTAAGGATTTATCAGTGAATTTATTTCAAGCCACTCATAACAAACTTACTTAAATTTTAGTTCTTAAAAATGTTTAGAACATAGCATCTCTATTCATACTTCATGATGTTCAAAGTTGATTCAAAAAATTTTTTGCATGTACTTACTCCACTATGGCGATTAAAGCTAGGTTTCCCATATCTAGCATATAGGAAACATATATTTTAAACTGATTAAATTCTGAGTGTTTGTGAGGCAGTAGATCACAAAGGTATGTAATAGTATTTAAAATAGAAATATATCATGTTTCATAAAATAGTTAGCAACTTGAACCTATTTGTCACTTTTTACAAATTCTAAAAGTTTCATTCCAGAATTACTGTGAACAACCTAAGAAAGGGCACAGTACTTTGAAGTATAACTTTGATTGATTAGACCAAACTAATTCCAGCACTGCACTGTGTACTACTTTAATCTTTTTGAAAAGTGAATGAACAGCAGATGGCCTAATAAAGACACTCTGTGTGCTTGCCCAGTATGGATTGGCTCTGAGAGGGCCTGCTTAACACTTCAGAGTCCATACATTTGCAATACATCCGTCTTTGTCAAGGCAGATGTCTAAAAGAAAGAGAAACTTGCAAACATTTTGGATATAGTCCAGTTTGGAGTAGGTATTTGGGTGAGATGTTACAAAGAACTTGACTTTGACTTTTAAGTTCTTGTCAGAAAAAGTATCATCTCTGATAGTCCAAAATATACTTGTCAAGAAAACTGCTAGTATGTTCTAATGACCCTTTGTATGTATATTCCAGTTTTCACTAGAGTATTTTTGGACTCTGTATTTTAATTATTTGTCTGATAACTAAGGTGAAAGAAAATAGAAACAATAGCATTTTCTATTAAGGCATGTAGGTTGGCTTTCTCAATAGTTATCAACTTTTTCTTTAATAATCATTTTCTTTTAATGAAGAAAAATAGGCAATATATTGTAGCTATGTATAAGATGAAAAGTTTACACATTTTAAAGCATTTAGTCACATCATGCAAATTTAACTGTATTAAATCCAAAGATATGTATTCATATCATGTCCATCCATGATCCTGCTTCTAACTCCCAAAAATGGAAGAGTGGTAGAATGATACGTGAGACTAGGTCCATTTCATGTTCTTACAAGATGAGAAGCAGTTAATTTGGAGAAAGTATTTCAGCTGCTGTTTCTTTTTAGAAAATAAACTTCAGAAGGTCAACAAAATTCTTAGAAAAAAATGTATTGACATGGTAAGCTCTAAATGGGTAATATAACACTGTAGTGTGATGGTTTCATGAAGCAACTTTTTGTGCATGGTTTCATTGTGTCTTACAGTAATAACAAGTAGTGGTTACAGCCCAAGGTCGGCGCACCAGTATTCCCCACAGCTGTACCCTTCCAAGTAAGTGCTCAGTACACTCAGTGTTGTTAGATCCATTTTCTGGAATCCCATTTAGAAATCTGTATTCACATAATATCACAACTTTAATTTGGTATACATTCATAGATATAAGTGTATTGATGATAGATAATTGGCTAGATGGTTATTTGCATAAATTAAGCATCTAAGGAAGCATACAGAATAGAAATAAAGATGTTACTTGTGTAATATACATACCCTTATACACATCAATTCTTTCGTTTTAGATGGTTATCCATTTTAAATCTGTATGTTCAATTGTTTTATGAAAATTCTAAGATGCCAACTAGTTTATAGAAAATATAAAGAGATCTTATTTTACTGACACCTCAAGTATCAACACTTCATAGTTGATTCCATCACCAAAATATTTTATTGAATTTCATAATACAATAAAAGATATTTGTAGAGAATATTTTTTATTGTTTTGAAAACTGCTGTAGTCACCTTATTGAAGAAAGTGGTAGATATTTCAAGTTGAACTGTGTCAGGTACATTTGAATTTGTGTAGGATTCAAAAGATTGGGAATGTTTTTCAATCCCTGATACATATAAAATATGTGTTTGGAGCTGGGCACTGTTTGCTCACACCTGTAATCCTAGCTATTCACACACTAAGATATGAGGATTGTGGTTTGAAGCCAGTCCAGGCAGGAAAAACCATATGAGACTCTAATCTTCAGTAAATTTCCACTAAAACACACACACACACACACACACACACACACACACACACACACACACACACCCTAGAAGTGGAGCTGTAGCTCAAGTGGTACAGTGATAGCCTGGAGCAAAAGAAACTCAAGGGCAATACCCAGCCCCCAAATTCAAGCTCCAGGACTAACACACACACACCAAGTGTGTTCTATTTTGTTACATCTAGAATACCCCTAAGTATAATGGGAACATTATGTGAACTATAGCATGATGAAGGGAAAATAGAATTCCCCTTGTTTTCAGGAATATTACTCCTTCTCTTTCTTTCTAAGATTTCCAGTTACAAGGAAGGATTTCCAGTTAATTTGAGGAAGAGCTTTTAAATAAAAATTTGTAATCATTGTGCAGCATTAGGTCACTCAGTACAGATAGGCTCACAAAGCCCTTAACTGGCCTGTACTCCATTTTCTCTTCTATATATTAACTGGAGTGCTGTTTAGATATAACAAGAATGATAGATGTGGAAGAGACGTGAGTAGTCACATCTAAACCAATTTCTCATCTTACAGAGGAGGCATTCTCAAGGGGATTCATTTATTTATCCAAGGTCATCAGACTGATTTGTAGCACAGCCTAGGCTCCTGACATTGGAACTCTTATACTTTCCTACATTGTAAAATTTGTTGTGGATGAGAGGAGGATTACTCCCTGAATATTTTAGGGTTTCACTGAATCTAAGCTGTCTGAATTAATATGCAGTCTTTGTTGCCACAGTAATGCTATTTTTCTGATATTTAGGCCCTATCCACACATTCTTTCTACACCAGCAGCTCAAACAATGTCTGCCTATGCAGGCCAGACTCAGTATTCGGGGATGCAGCAGCCAGCGGTCTACACAGCCTACTCACAGACAGGACAGCCCTACAGCCTGCCCACTTACGGTATTTCACGTTTTCTCTCTTCTTTGTTTACAAGTGGGGTAGTTCTGCTAGCGAGTAGAATTACATTGTTCATATGAGTTTCAGCTCCGAAGGAAGATCCTTTTGTTCATGAAGTCCTTTGCACATTTGTTTTCCAAACAGATTTGGGGGTGATGTTGCCCGCCATCAAGACAGAAAGTGGACTTGCTCAAACTCAGTCCCCATTACAGAGTGGCTGCCTCAGTTATAGTCCGGGCTTTTCCACCCCCCAGCCAGGACAGGCACCTTATTCTTACCAAATGCCAGGTAAGCAAGCACTCAAGACACTTGTTACGTGAGAATAAATCCTTTCAATGTGACTCTTTGACTTCAGTCTAAGACGTACACATGAGGACAGTTTTAAATCTCACAGTACCTGCACAGCTTCTTAAGAAAAGACAAATAATTGCACAGAAGCCTGATGTAAGTAATTGAATACATATTAGTGGACATGACTCATACAAAATGCAAATACTTAATTTTAAGCTTTATAAAAAGGCAGAAAACCATGTACAAGCCAAGCAGGCTTCAGGCCAGCCATCACCAGGTCAGGCAATCACATGTTTAGTGTCTACGTAGCTAAGTTACATTCCTTAGACAAATCTATGTTTTCTTCTCAGTATTTCAGAAGAAATGTCATGTTCTTTTGATTGTATTTAAAAATAAGGCACTAGTGGCTCATGCCTATTAATCCTAGCTAAACTGGAGTCTAAGATCTAAGGATCAATTCAAAACCAGCTTGAACAGACAAAAACATGAGATTCTTATTTCCCAGTAACCACCAAAAAGCCAGAAGTGAAACCGTGGTTCATGTGGTAGAGCACCAGCCTTGAGTATAAAAGTAGCCAGACCCTGAGTGCATGGTCAGGACTAGAGCACGCACACACACACACACACACACACACACACACACACACACATACACTAGCACTTTCTAAAGTTCTACTTATTATTGAATGATGAAGAATATTTTTGTTCCAAAGACTGGCTTCCCTATTGATACATTATTTCCCAATAGGATTATTTATATAATTCATTATATTTCCAAACCTTTCATTTAGGATCCTTTTAAAAAAAATCTCTCATTTTTGACATCAATTAAAAATTATGTTTGGTCATCATATAATAGTTTTAGAAAGAATTGTAGGGACATAGCAAGAACACATAAAGCTAATTTTTATCTATTGTCCATTTTTATTCATAAATTTAGGGCTAAATTAATATATTTGGAACAACTATTTTAACAATTTAGTCAATTGACTAAAATAAAATAGACATTTTTGGGCTGGAATGGCAGGTCTCTTTTTTTAATCTAGAATAGAAGCTGAAATATAATTGCATACACACTGTATTCCCAATGGCTTTAGTTAGTAGTTTAAGACAGAGTATAAAGACATGCTTATTTTTGCCCACATATAGTCACATGGCTTTTCTGGACCAAATTAATTGTTTTGGTTATATAGCATAACATTACTGAAAACATGTTTGTGTGTTGCTGGGCCCTGGTGGCTCATGTCCATAATCCTAACTATTCAGGAGGTTGAGACCTGATAGTCACAGTTTGGATCCAGCCTAGGGAGGAAAGTCCATGAGATTCTTTTTTTTTTTTTTGGGGTCCGGTCGTGGGGCCTGAACTCTGGGCCTGGGCGCTGTCCCTTAGCTCTTCAGCTCAAGGCTAGCACTCTACCACTTGAGCCACAGCACCACTTCCTGCTTTTTTCTTTTTGCTTATGTGGTGCTGAGGAATCGAACCCAGGGCCTCGAGCATGCAAGGCAAGTGCTCTACCACTGAGCCACCTTCCCAGCCCGTCCATGAGATTCTTATCTCCAATTAACCACTAAAAAGCTGAAAATGGAGCTGTGCCTCCTAGTAGAGTGCTAGCCTTGAATAAAAGAGCTCAGGGACAGTGCCTAGGCCCTGAATTTAAGCCCCAGGACGAGCATGTGTGTGTGTGTGTGTGTGTGTGTGTGTGTGTGTGCACGCGCATGCACACACACACACACACACACTCACACTCGCTAATGAAATAGGTAATTAAATGTCTCAAGTGTTTCACTTTACCTCTTTAAGGAGTACAGTCCATAAGAAAATACTTCAAAAGAAAAAAATCTGTAATCGATGCACCCCAAACTAAGCACATACATTTCAAACATTATAGTCAAATTTTAAAAGGCCTTCAAACCTTATATACATACAGTATCACCTATCCAGGACAGAAAACAAAAAGACAGGGAGGGTAAGAACTAACTCTAGATGAATTCTGTGAGTTCATTGCCTACCCCATGACCCATCCAAATGTTTAACATTACTCATTTCTCTATATAACTTGAAACATTCACAAATTTCGGGAATTCCAAGTTAATAAATCACAGCTTATTTCTCGAGTTCCTTGCTATCCGTGCTATGGACACTCAACTCTTGAACGTTAATTTGAGTCAGCAAAAGGCAGTTTCTGTTCTGCCTTCATTCAGCCCACCACGTTCCCTTCAGAAGGTTTTACCTGCTATGAGGAAGGTGGGGGAAGCTAAACCAACCGTATAAACCCCAACTCCAAATCGCACCACGAAATCCAAACAATGTTTCCTTCACTTAATTTTTCAATGTAAAATATTTTTCAACATTTCTGTGAGGAAAATTTGCTTCTGATAGGGAAATGATTGCTTTTCTCATATATACTGAGTAATTAGGCGTATTTCTGCGATCACATGTGCTGTTCTGACACATGGTGTACAATACAGTGTTGAAATCACGGTGAATATATCTGTTTGCTCAAACATTTGTAATTTCTTTGAGGTGAAACCATTCAAAATCCTCTCCTCCAGCATTCTGGGAAAAATGTGACACATGACTTGGTGTCTGTTGATGGTCCTTCCTTACCTTTCTGTAAACCCTACCATGATAACTCCTATTCTACTCTTAGCTTCGATGAGAACAACCTATTTAGGTTTCATACACCAGTGCACTATTTATTTTCTTTGTCTGGCATGTCACATGATGCCCTTTTGTTCTAACCAGGCTGTTACAAATGACCAAAATTTCTTCTCGTTCATGAGTGAATTAGTGTGAAATGTTTTAAAATTCAGTTTGTTCTTTGCCTTTAGGTTCTAGTTTTGCACCATCATCTACCATTTATGCAAATAATTCAGTTTCCAACTCAACGAATTTCAGTGGTTCACAACAGGTATGGTGGTGTTTTTATATTTGTGCTTTAAAAAAAACTCATCATAATTGAAGATTTTAAAATAAGTATGCATTCTCCAAATATAAGATGTCTTCATTTGAAACTAACCCAACATTACAGGATAATAAAAAATCATATATTCAGAACTTTTGAGATACTTGTCATTCTGGCTATTTTATATTTGTTGTTAAATACTTGTTTAACCATTTCAGTAGTATTAATTTTAATCACCTGACATGAATTTATTGACTATATTGTATACTTGCTTGTTATCTTAAACTGTACTTGACACAGTTTTATTTCCCTTGATAAAACAGAATTATGAATATCAATCAATAATGGAACTGTAATTTCAAAAAATGGGATGGGGTTGGGGCATTAAAACTTTCCCAGTCCCTGAAGGTAACTGGTTACTAAACATAACACCTATTCATTGCTTAGTTCTATCATTTCTTTTATTAAATGTTGGATTCCCAACCTCTTCTGACAGCAGAGCTTTCCTGCTTTGGTTATGAACTTACGTTCATGTTAAATTCTAGGATGTTAAACTAGGTGCTAGTATGTGGAGGAAAAGTGAGCATTTCTGGATACACAATGTGGCAATTTGATAATATGCATTCTATATTGACTTCAGAATCCTTTTCCTTATTTTCTGATTTTTCAATCATGAAGAGTAATATAGACTGAAAGGTGATTTCTGGACAGACAATATGCTATTTGCTTTAATATAATTGCTGACCTTTTAAATGTTTTTAAATGTAAATTGCCCCAGAAGTGCTTGCTCTTTGGATTTATTGAAGGAGCTCTTATTAATTGCCTTCATGTAGCTCAATAAAAGAAAAAAGGGAAAACTTTATTATTGAAATAATGTGGAGTTAAAATAGTTTATAGAATTAAAATGTGTAATTTGGCATTAGTTAAAAATAATACCTTAACTCTCTAAATATTAAAGTCACTATACAGATTTTATTTAAAAATTGATTTGGGCTTTGTGGGTCACAGCTATTAATTCCAGCACTTGGGAGGATAAGGAAGAAAAAAAGGGAGTTTGAGGCCAGTCTGGGCTCTATAGCAAGACTCTGTCTCAAACAATATATTGTATTCATAAGCTGCTTTGTTAAATGCCAACTCTTGAAAGATATCAATAGAAAGGTATAAAAGTAAGAAATCTTAATAGCTTAATTTAACTTATTATTGATCAGTATAGCACACATTAAGCACTTGCAGTCCTAATAAGTTTGAATAGGCATTGAAGTTGCAAAAATCTCCTTTGTTTTCTTGAAGGGCAGTCTTCCTAAAGAAACAGACATAAAATCATGTGGGCAGAATGTGGAATATGATAATAGGAGTAAACATTAGAGAAAACCTTAGCATAAAGAAATGATTACTCCATTGTACTAAGTAGGACTATAAAGTTGTATTAAGAAGAAAATTTATTTACCAGGTTTAACTCATAAAACAGATCCAGTTCTACCTAAAGACTAGCATAAAATATAATTTGTATTTTAGACCCTGCTTTGAGTATTAGTTTACCCTTTGAGAAAACATTGACTGCTATAGGAATTGGAAGCTGGGCTTTGTATACTGACAAATATGCAGGTAGTGGTAGTACTGGTTAGGACCTCACTCCTGGTTCATGAACTTGTGACATATGGAGAATATAAACCAATGACCGGAAAACCAAAGAACCAATGAACATAAGCATGAACCCATGAAAAAAATTATAAATAACAAATTTTTAGTAGACTGTATTCTAATTTTAAAAATTTGGAGTTAAAACCTAATTTTAGATAGGGAAGTTTTGGTAGAAGCTCTCCCTACTGAAACTGCATTAAGGCCAAGAATTCTAAGACTTTGAGGGGAAGAATGAGGGTATGGGTGATCCCGGCAAAGAAAACAGCAGGAGGCAGATCGCCAAGCAATAGAAGACTCAAGGCAGGCTGGTGTAGTAAGTTCAGGGGGGAAAGCAGGGAGACACACACACCGTTGAAGAAATGCAGCCAGCCAGTTCACGTAAGATGCTGGGGATTCCAGAAAGACACTTGGATCCTATTCCCAGCCCAGTGGGAAACTATTGAAGGATTCTGAGGAGAAGAATAACATCATGTAATTTATGTTTCGAAAATTTATTGAAGTGTCATGGTTTTTGGAGAAAGCCAAACAAATGAAAAGGAGGTAAATTAGAAAACAAGTACATTTGTTGCAACAGGATGGGAAGGTAGCTTAGATAAGAGAGATAGGAGTGGAAATGAAGAGAGCTGGAGATCTTAGAGACATCCTATTCCCCAGAGGCTCAGGGAAATCTTGCCAATCTGTGACTCCCTTTTCCTCTCAGGGCCTTGGCAGGCTTAACAGCTTCAGCCCACAGATGCTAGAGGTAGAATGCCAGCTCAGAAACTTACTGGCTGCACGGCCTGCGTACAAATCACTTAGAAGTTCTGTACGTTAGTCTTTTTTATAGTAGACTGGAAATAATAACTACACCATGCAGAAGGTTGTGAAGATTAAGTAAGCAAGTCTACTTATCCTCAGAACTGTGCCTTAACACAGGCAGTACTGTGCAATCATTAGCAATCACATTTTACTCTAAGAAAGACAAGTTCCTAAGAACTTTGTTCAAATGTTGACACTTTTCCCCCCTTGACTCACAGGTAGTGGTGGGGAATAGCTGATTTTGAAATTAACAAACTACTTTTAGTTTTCTGCCTAATTACTTAATTCTTTGTGATAATACACATACTTATAAAAAGAATTTTCATTTTTGGAAAGCACATCAATGGAGGGTTTTTATTGTCTTCAGTACTTGTCTCAACAGGGAATCTAAATCCTGACCAAGGATTTGTCATCACTGATAACAATTTGGTCCAAACGTGGTAGATATATTAAAGATCATCTGTCACAACAGATCCTTCATCATCGTAATATGCAAAAGGATTTTGAGGGAGCACTCTTATTGTTTGAAAGGTCTTTGGCTTTTTTTAAACAAAAATAAAGCAAGTCAGAGAAGGTAATCCAATGCTTTCATTTTTGTGTGCAACAAAAGAGAAAAGCTAAATAGTTGAAAACTTCATTGAAGATTTTAAATCCAGCCTCGGATGGACTGTGAGAAGCTGGTAATCTGTGCTTATCTTTTTTCTATACTTCCACTAAGAAAATAAAATTACCAAGAGTAGTCAAGAAGAAGAAACAAAACCATATATTTAACAGTCCACACTAAGGTCTGTGTAGCAGATAGGAGAGCTGACAACAGCTCCTCCATGATGGTGTTAGAAGATATGGAGCAACTAATTTCCTGAACACGAACTAGTTCTACCTCTATTACTCTTCCAGTGCATCTGTCCTTGGTTAAGTATCTTTGGGAAGCAAAATGAAGTATATGCAACCTTTTGTTAGATTGCAATTTAGTATTTACAAAACCAATAGAGGAAAGCCATTATTTAACATGCCCTTGCACACACAATGATCTGTAATAAGTACTCATCTTCATTGACATAGTGACTGTTTTCTTTTGCTTGTTCCTGGCATACTACAGAGTAATATCTCCTTCAAACATACACATTTCAATAACTCGTTTCAGGAGTATCCATCCTACACAGCCTTTGGCCAAAACCAATATGCACAGTATTATTCAGCATCAACGTATGGAGCATATATGACATCAAATAACACAGCTGACGGCACATCTTCATCAACCTCAACCTATCAGCTGCAGGAATCTCTCCCAGGACTGACTAGCCAACCAGGTACAGATCTTCACCCAGGTGAAATACTTTTAAATGTTTTGTGCTATCTAATGACATGGAGAAAACAGACATTTCGAAACCATGCCTAAAAAAATGCCAAAATAATTGTGCTTATGTTTAAGCTATATCAGTGTAAGATGAGTTTCTTTGAGCATTCCAAAAACATTTTTGATATGGAACAGATAGGAGACTTTCTGTGTGTGTGTGTGTGTGTGTGTGTGTGTGTGTGTGTGTGTATGTGTGTGTGTACAAATATTGGGGGCTTGAACTCTTTTGCTCAAGGCTAGGGCTCTTCCATTTGAACTGTAGCTGTAGTTCTGCCTTTTTGGTGATTAGTTGGAAATACGAATCTCACAGACTCCTTCCTGGACTGGCTTTGAACCTCGATCTTCATATATCAGCCTCCTGGGTAGCAAGGATAACAGGTGTGAATCAACAGGGCAAAGTTGTTGATAATTGAATGAAAAATGCATTTTTTAACCATACTGGGGAAACGGGATATCTATGTATAAAAGAAAAGGGAATCTCATAATTGTGTATAAAATTAACTCAAAATGAATCATAAGCTGCATGTAAAAACCTAAACTAAAACCACCTAGAAGAAAAACATAGACAAAATTATTTTTACTCTGGATAAATGAAGATTGTTGTAGTTTTGACCCTAGAGTCTCACAAATCCTCAGGGAAAAAAAGAGAAGATAAATTAGACTTCATAAAATTAAGAATCAATCCTGGAAAGACACTTCATCACAAAAATAAAATAAACCATTTAGAGAAAGTATTTACAAAACATATATCTGATAAGGACTGGTAATCCAGAATTCAAATAAAAAGAATAAAAAGAACTCATCCTCCACTTTTGTTTTATCCATCTGTGAAAGGAGTGGGGTAAGCAAGGAGTACACTCACAATACTGAACCCTTTCTAACTGGGCCACTAGAGCCAAACAACCCAGTTTCATTAACGAACTAATTCATTGAATTTCTCTTACATTCCAGCATAAGGTGAGCAAATGTTACTTTGTTATTTGAGCATCAGATAAGCTTTCTTTGCACCATAACTTTTGTTTAACAAGACAAAGCTCAAGCAAATATCTCTAATAGTGATGAATATTAAGAAAAAGGAAAAGAGATTAATATGAAAAATATTAAACAAGTGAACTAACTTGAACATAAAGAAGTAACAGTGAAGTTGATTTTTTTTTCTTTTTCTTTTTTTCTGTCAATCCTGGGGCTTCAACTCTGGGTCTGGGTACTGTCCATGAGCTCTTCAGCTCAAGGATAGCACTCTACTACTTGAGCCACAGTGCCATCTGATTTTCTGGTAGCTTATTAGCGATAAGAGTCTCATGGATTTCGCCCCCCAGGCTGGCTTTGAACTGCAATCCTCAGATCTCAGCCTCCTGAGTAACTAGGATTACAGGCACGAGCCACCAGCTCCCGGCTTTTTATTTTCTTAAGCAATAGCTAAAATGGGATTATATCATGAATAGATGAAATGGTAACCTTTGTTATTCTTTTTAAAGTTTTATTGTAAAGGCAATGCACATAGGGTACAGTTACATAAGTCATCTAATGAATACATCTCTTTTTGAACAGTACAGTATTCATTTTTCTTGGTGCTGTGTTTGGAATACAGAAGTCCATCACATTCCAGCCATCATTTCACTTCTCATTGTGTCAATCAAATCTAATCCAAAAATATTAAAAGCAAAGTTCCAAAAATAAGCAAACTACACATTTTTAGTGATTTTCCTTTTATTTTTTCTTATTATTTTCTCACAAATTTTATCATAGCTGTGTGTATGTATAGGCAAAGCCATACTATCATTGTCTGCGGCTTCAAAGCTCTGTGGAGCATCTTGGAATGTGTTCGTAATTGAGGAGAGACCACAACATCACCTCTAACGGTGAACCCAAGAAAAACTACCCAGAAGATGTAATTTGTCTTTGGCCCCTTGCATTTCCATTTCCTTCCCCTTGTCTTCCTTCAGTTCTCCTCCTGTGAGCACACAGGCCCTTTGAAATCTGACTCTTGTCACTTTTAAAGCTCATGTTTAGGCTTCCCAGCCATCCTTACCTTGGTTGAGCATTTGCACATCATGTAGAAGCAGTCCCAGGGTCAGGCCAGTGAATTAGCTGGGGCCCGGAATTGAAGGGATTGCTCTTTCTCTTTTGCCCTGCATGTCCCAGTCTTAGTCACATATTCCAAATTTACCTTTGTCTTCTTTGAGTCCATACTTATCAAAGAGGGGGCCTTATTTCAAAGACTGCATGATTTCTGAATCCGTAATCAGTCATGGAGAGAGATACTGTATTTAGGTAAACTGATATTTGTGTTACTCTTCATCATACCAGGAACGGATTTTTCTTAGTGAATCATGGGAGGAAACCAGGTAGATAGAGTGGCGGCTCAGAAAGAAACTACAGAAGTGCTTGTCATCATACTATCAGAGACGGAATGGAACAAAGGACCAGTGACTAGACTATGGCCTCAGTGAATAGAAGTTATTTACACTCTTAGATAAGCTAGGTTGGCTGTTCTAATTTCCACATGATCACAGCAAAGTTTCTCTCAGGGAAAGACAGAGATGCTAGCTTTTCATTAGCCAAAGATTTTTCTAATATTCTGAATACCTATTTTATTCCTGCTTAAGATACTGACAAAAGGTAGCAGCTATGCTGAGTGGAGGACTTTGAAAAGTCCACATTCACAGGCGGCCATGTCAAATTCACATCAGAATACTGTGATTTCTTCAAGTTTCCACTGGTTGCCAAAAAATACAGTTTTGACTTATTTTCACATTTCATTAAACTGTTGAACTTAAAAAAAAGAAATTATTTCTACTTGAAACTGTTATACTCTCAGCCAAAATCATGGCAATACACATGTCTGGTTTTTAAGGAATTCTGTGGCCTCAGATATTTGCTTTTAACTTTGATTTTTGCCTTTTTCTGATCTGGCATGCATTCAAAGAAGTGAACAAATTTATAATGATGGGAATTTTTCTTTATTAATGATGAAATCTGTTGGATTTAGTTCAAGGGCAGGGAAAGAATTTCCCATTAATCGATTCTGCATTTTGGACCCACAACCCAGACCTAACAATTAATTCCACAATTTTTCATAGAACATTGACTGTGGGACTTGAAATTTTAAAATAGAAACATACCTTATGTTCAATAAGAGACAGCTGGTTGTTCTGATTTAGAGATAACCCTAATGAAATAAAGTTGGATCTAAATATCCAAAACTTGCAAAGGGCAGTTATTCATTACTGTACTGATTAAAGGATAATTATTCAATCATGTAGAAAGGCCTAGGGCAGTTGGTAATGACTGATGTTATTTGGAAATTGCAAATAGCATTCAGTTATTTATTTTACCTTATTAAGTAGTTTGACAATGGATTTAAAGAAACACTACTGTGCTGATTAGAAACAGACATTTTAGTTCATTATAGTTATAAAGGTTTTCCTTTGCCTTTATATAAAGTTCATCTAAGGTGAATTATATTTTTGATTTGCATTTGAAAGTTTGAGAATGGATTAACACATAGAGTTGAGAGATCATTTTAAACCTCTTTCAATATTTTAAACATCTTTATATTAAGTGAGGTTAGTAATTTGCAACAATAATATCCTTTAGCCTGAGACCTTTATAAACATTACAATACATTAGAAAATGAAACTTAGCAAGTGTTCCAGAAAGGTAGCCAGTAAAGTCAGTCTTTCTCTCTGAAAAGAAACTGGCTTCGGGCTGGGAAGGTGGCTCAGTGGTAGAGCGCTTGCCTTGCATGCCTGAGGCCCTGGGTTCGATTCCTAAGCACCACATAAGCAAAAAGAAAAAAGCCGGAAGTGGCGCTGTGGCTCAAGTGGTAGAGCGCTAGCCTTGAGCTGAAGAGCTGAGGGACAGAGCCCAGGCCCAGAGTTCAGGCCCCACGACTGGAACCAAAAAAAAGAAGAAAGAAAGAAAGAAACTGGCTTCTTAGGCAGAACTTCTGTAACTTCATAAGCAAAGTGTTTATCATCTAGTGAAATGCACAAGAAGATACAGATGGAAAAAATAGACCACACTGCACAATTCTGAAAATTACATTTCTCCTTCCTGCAGCTGCACCTGCCCTTGTGCAGCTTCCCCAATGACATTGGCAGAAGCCCTAGATTGAACAGTTTTCCCTCTCCCCCCCCAAAAAAATCATCATCATCATGATCATCATCATGTATCTACTAATGTTCAATGAGCAGTTCAAATCAAGCTCCTGGTTTTTCTTTTCAAGCTAGCACCTTCAAAAAGCTTAGAGGTCAGTACAATTGCACCCATTTGATGTCTGGAGGAGCCCAAATACTAGTTTTATCCTCACAAAGTGTGTCCACATGGGAATTGTGCCCACACAGGAAGTGTCACCACACTCTTCTGGAAGTCATCCATTATTTCCAGAAAGTTCTTTCAGTGAAATTTCTTGTCACCTCTCTCATAGAAAATGTGTGAAATCTACATCTTTCTCTTGAAATATTTTTAAATTGACAAATAATCACTTGTACATATTTATCATGTATAACATGTGACTTTGGCCACACAAATGCATAGTAAGCCAGCTAATACATGCATTACCACATACACATCATTTTTGCGGTAAGAACACTTAAAAGGTATTCTCTTAGCAATTTGCAAAAACATAATACATTATTGTTAACATAATCATAATATAAAAATCTCTTTAACCCTATCTAACTGAAATTTTGTAACCTTTGATAGGTACCTTTCCTCCTTGTCCATAGATCATTTCTACTCTCTATTTCTATGGGATCAAATGTTCCGCATCGTGAATAATACTCAGTGAACATAAAGATGCATACTATCTTCAACATACTAACTTCATTTCCTTTGTATTTATGGTAGTGGAATTGCTGCATCATTTGGCAATACTGTTTTTAATTTTTCAAGAAGTCTCTGTACTAATTTCCATAATGATGTACTCATTTAAAGTCCCACCAATAGACTGCAAAGATTCCTTCTTCCCTTCTTCTCTCCAACACTCATACTGTTCTGTCTTTGGGAACTAGCTATCCTCACAAGTGTGAGGTGATATAGATCAGTTTTTCAAAGACTCTCACTATCTATATATGTTTTTAAAGAAATTTGCATGCTGCCTTTGGGGCATGGCTTAAGGGGTAAGCACAAGAGCTCTGAACAATTCTACTCAGACCCTTTGCACATTTTTAAAGATCATGTTATTTGTTTGCATACTATCAAGTTGTTTGAGTCCCTAACCAATGATCAGTAGAGTCACAATTTTGATGCTAGCCTGAACTATATAGTATGAACCTTTTGTCAAAAAAAGAGAAACATTTAAAAAGCAAACAATAAAAATGATTCCCTTATATACACACATGCACTTTACTTGTATTTTGTTCAAAGTCTTAGGTCCTTTTTTTTTTTTGGTTAGTCATGATGCTTGAACTCAGGATCTTAGGACTGTCCCTGAGACACTGTCCCTAGCACTTCACCACTTTGAGCCATAGCCCCACTTCTGGTTTTCTGGTGTTTTTCTTTTTTCTTTTTTTTTTTTTTGTGAAAATACCATACAGAAGGGTTACAATTACATGAGCAAGGTAATGAGTACATTTCTTATCAAGCATTGTTGCCTCCTCCTTTCTTTCCCCTTCCCATCCCTTTCCATTCTCCTCCGCCCCCACCCAGCCAAAGTTGTAAAGTTCATTTTTCCACATAACGACTTGTACATCTCATTGTTGCAATGGGTCCACCTGTATCCCTATTTAAATGATTTGTTTTTTCCCTTCCCCTCCCCAAATTATACCAACATCAAATACAGTGAAAGCAGGGGTTATACCTGGGGGAGGGACACACAAAGCAACAAAGAAATATCTTATAAATATGTTAGAAACAATCACAAGAAAGAAAAAACATTTGCATCCTTATCTTGGGGTTCATTTAAGCTAACATCAACTTATCTGACCTTTTCTGCTTGTCTCAGATGGATACAGATAAGAGTCTCACAGACTTTACTGCCTGGGCTGGCTTGGAACAGCAATCCTCAGACTTTGATCATTCCAAGACTTGAACAAAACCTGTGGGAACCAATTTTCATCTGTGTGTGATCCCAGACACATCATCTGACCTTGTCTTTTCTTTTCACTACTGTCACACTGCTGAGTCCCAGGGGGAATGGCTGACCCATTCCTACTGCGCCCTTCATGAATCTAGTCCCATCAACCACATGTAACTGATCACAATGAGGGAAATTTTGCAAATTTTTCCTTTCTGCTTTTGTATTTCCTTCTTGTTATAATTCAGAATGGGGCTTTTTAATGAAATGCAACCCCTGAAAATTGATCCAAAATGAATAAGACTGGTTTCATAGACTGTCATCCAAAAAGGTTTTTTTTTAATCCCCTTAAAAAATGAGGATTTATTTAACTAGCTGTTTTATTTGAAGGGGAATCTAGATTTACTGGCTATAGTAATCTTAGGAAAACTATGCTTCAAAAAATAAAGTTACAGGCTGGGTGCCCATGACTCATGCTTGTAATCCTAGCTACTCAAGAGGCTGAGATCTGAGGATCGTGGTTCAAAGCCAGCTTGGGTAGGAAAGTCCATGAGACTCTTATTTCCAATTAACCACCAGAAAACCACAAGTGGCACTGTGGCTCAAGTGGTAGAATGCTCTTCTTGAGCTGAAGAGCTCAGGGACAGCACCTAGGCCCCACAATCGGAAAAAAAAAAAGAAAGTTACAAAAAGATTTATGTAATTTTACTTAAAAGTAGACATGTACTTTTAAATATCTGTTCAAATATTTAAAGCCTATATAAATAAGTTGAAATGTGACTCACTACAAGATAAAGCTATAACTTAAGAACTTTGTGCTATCTAGTCTCACTCAGTGATAACACACACACATGCCCGCACGCCACACAGACAATGAGCTGTGCTAACAACAGTTTAAGAACAAATAATAATTTTTGTAGCATAGATATATTTTTGATCCTCTGAATTTCAGATACTGGTAGGACATTCAGAAATCAATTTGATAAAAACATTCAGAAGTCAATTTGAGAAAGAGTCTGAAAGGTAGGCTGTGGTTTGGATGGCCTTAGATGGAAAGAAAAATAAAATATCCCCCTGATAATTTGCATATTGATTATATGCTGAAATGATATTTGCATTCATTGAACTAACTTTCATATAGGCGAATTAATTTTACATGTCTCTCCCTTCTCTCTTTTATTTAATGTAGCTGCCAAAATATTTTATTTATGTGGTTGTACTGATGGCTTGTCGTATTTCTATTGTACAGCACTGGTAATTCATTCTGGTTTTAAGAGGCTTTATTTGAAAGGGACAGTAGCAAGGAGAGACTATCTAGGTGGAAATACAAAGCCAAGAGGAAGGAATTTGTAACTTGTCTGAAGTCCATGGAGGTCAAAGGGCAGATGAAAGAGGCTTGATGATTGTGTGTAATTCCCTAGGTAATTCCCTAGGTTAGGATGTGGATGAGTGAAATGGATCTGATAAAAATGCAGGTGAGGGTACAAACAGGAAGTTGAAGGCAAATGGAGGATAACACATTTGGTTTTAATAGATCATATAGATTAAAGCAAAGGGTGATTCGTGTGGTCCATAAAAATTTTTGACTAAATTAGAATTAGGCATGCTTCAGACAATACATCCTGTTTTGTTTGACCAACTTAAAGAGGTTTCTATTGTACAGGAATTTGTTAAGAAAATTAACAATGGAGGCTTATGCCCGATCTACAAATGAAGCACATGTGTTGACTATAGTTGTGTATTATTTGTAGGAGAGTTTGATACGGTGCAGAGCCCTTCCACACCTATCAAGGATCTTGATGACAGAACATGTAGAAGTTCTGGCTCAAAGTCTCGAGGAAGAGGCCGAAAAAATAATCCTTCCCCACCTCCTGACAGTGACTTGGAGGTATGCTTACTCATTTTTAAAGAATGTAGTTTGATGCTTTACTTTATTGAGTGATGTATTTTGTACATGATGTTCCCGTTACATTTCCAAATTAATATCAAAGCCATGTATTATGAGATGAGTGTGTTTGCTTTGTCAGAGCGGACCTGTATATTCAAATGCAGAAATCTGAGTTTAAATCGAAGATAAAAATAGATGTAGTATAAGTTAAGATGTAGTATAAATTAAGGAATACTGCAGTTGGCCTCTTTGTAAGAGACTTATTTGAATAATACTAGCAAATTCAAATGCCTTCCCGTTCTGGCAGGTGATACAATGCGTATGATTCTTTGAGGGCAGGAGGCTGGCCCATTCCGGGCTCTGTCATTAGGCTGAGTGGGAATGTCAGCTAGTCTCCAGGTTCTCTGCCCAAACCAAAGCACTGGTGACTGTGTGAAATCTCCTAATTTTGAAATGTTGATGAACTACTTGATATCTTTCCAGACTTTGCAGGCCAAACAACATATTTTCTGGCTTAGTCTGACTCAAGGGTCCACATTTTGCAATTTTGGCTTAAGGGTTCTTCAGAGATCTTTTCAAATATTCCTTTCTTTTTCTCTTTCTTTTCTTTCCTTTTCCTCTTTCTTTTTTCTTCCTTCCTTCTTTGCTTCATTCTTTCCTTCCTTTCTTCCATACTTTAGAATGAATTTCTTTTGCATAAATTATAAAATTCTATAAGGTATAAAAATTTTAATTTTACATAGACTAGTCATACTCCTGTCATATAGTCTGAATGCATCTATTTTTGGTACCATCTATAAGAAAATGTTTGGATGAATTCATTCACATTATCACATCTAATATTTAAACTTGATTACTCATTTAACCTATGTCCTTCAGATCTGACAAAAACTAGAGTTGGAAAATTAAAAATAAATAACCACATGCGATACTTTTCTACAAAACAGTGTCAAAACTGTGTGACAATACGAGGAGATATTTTCTACTTGAAAAGAGGTTTGTTTCCTTAAGCTTTACAACATTTTGATATTGGTATTTTCTCTCTAGCGTGTGTTTGTCTGGGACTTGGATGAAACCATCATTGTTTTCCACTCACTGCTCACAGGGTCTTATGCACAGAAATATGGGAAGGTAAGCAATTAAGATATTTATTTCAACAAATTTTGTTAAACCTGATTTTGTAGCTAAAGCCTGTAATGCTAGACATTTGGAAGGTAGTTCAAGGTAGTTTGTAATACTCTTATGTCAACTAATGTCTGGGTCATCTACCTACTTCCCAGATATAAGGGAAACCTGGGTACAGTGGCATATGCCTGTCATCCAAATGAAATGGGAAAACATAAATAGAAGACTAGAAGCCTAAGCCCAGCTGGACATGAAAAGGAGACACTATCTTAAAAATAACCAATACGGAAAGCAGCTAAAGGTGTATCTCAAGTGTTTAAGTCCCTATCTAGCAAGTTCAGTCTCTGCCCTCATCCCTACCAAAAACAAAGGTATATTTAAAACTGTTTTTGAGTTTCCAAAGTGATTGAACAAGTTTATACTCCCACCAACAATGCAGTAGGGTTCCCTTCTGTCCACATCCCCTCCAGCATCTGTTGTTATTAGAGTTCTTAATGATAGCCATTCTAACTTGGGTGAGGCGGTATCTCAATGTTGTTTTGATTTGCATTTCTTTTGTGGCTACATAGGTTGAGCATTTCTTCATGTGAGTGTTTTTATTGCAGTTTATCAAGTCTTTTCAATTATTTCTAAAATCATGGTTTTCTTCAATGTGATCTGGAAAATTTTACAAAATGAATTAGGAATTGGATTCCCTTTTCGTCATAATTTAGAGGTGTTTTTCTTTTTACATTAGAACCATTTAAAATATTACCAAATTATATATGATTTCTTAGAAAACTTACTAGGGAGCAGTTATTATAGTACATTATTTGAAATAAACAAATCATCTTTTGCCTGACAGATCTTTTGGAATTATAATTACCAGTATTTTTCTGGAGCTCAAGTAAGCACCTGAATAGTGATTGGGTGTTACTCTTACCTCATCTCAGGCCAGGAACACAAAATCAGTCACAGTGGTTTCAGCTATTCCTCTATTTTTCTCTCTTGCTCTTGGGTTCAGAGTTAGCTTCTTCCTTTACTTATTTTGAACTCTGGGCCTGGGTGCTGTCCGGGAGCTCTTCAGCTCAAGGGTAGTGTTCTACCTCTTGAGCTACAGCACTGCCTTTGAACCACGATCCTCAGATCTCAGCCTCCTGTGTAGTTAAGATTACAGGCCTGAGTCATAGGTGCTCAGCCAGAGTTAGCTTCTTCTAACTTTTGTTACACATCTATACAAATGTTTCCGAGAAGCTCCAGGTCTTTCAGCTTAGGACAGTTGCTTAGGCCATTTCTTTTCCCATTGTTGACTCCATGGGACTCATAATCTTACCCACTGTCAATTGGCAACAAGCTGGTCAACTTCCATTACTGCATTCAACGTTGTGCCTGTTTGATTCCTTTACTTGCCACTCTCACAGAAGAGTCTTTCTGTATCTTTCCAGCACCACACTGGGCAACATCTCATGTCAGCTCAACATACAGTTTTTAGCAACTATGTGAAACTTTTTCTTCTGAATAGGAAAAGTGGATTGCATTCAAGTGTGATTTCCTAATTTGCACACTGTAGGGAGGGAAGTTGTGTCATCATTTGTTTCTTTGTAATAGGACTCGAGTACGGATATACATAAATATAAAGGTAATAATCTGTAGTCCCTTTATCACAATTGCATCTAAAAATAGTTACCCAAGACAACACAATTAGGGATTATTTCTATAATTTGTAAAACAATTGTCTCAAAAAACAGGAGGTCTGGATATGTACTAGACATATAAACCTGTTCATTTGGGTTAAGAATGTGTGCAATATTAGAATCAGCACACATACACACAAATGTATCTCATCTGGATTAATCTTTATAGCTATTTTATATTGAACGTACTTTCTTTTTTTTCTTTTCTTTGTTTTTTTCGGTCATAGGGCTTGAACTCTGGGCTTGGGCGCTGTCCCTGTACTCTTCAGCTCAAGGCGAGCGCTCTACCACTTGAGCTACAGAGTCACTTCCTAAACGTACTTTCTAAATCCCTTAGTCATCACACGCAGCAACTCTAAACCACCATTGACTGAGTAGCTTGAAAGCTGTTTCTTTCTTGCACTTCTAGAGGCTAGGAAGGCCAATAACAAGTTATCAGTGTAGTTGTAACTGCTGAAGCCTGCATCCTGGCTTATGTATGGCTTTCTTGTTGTATCGTACATGGCAGAGAGAAGAAAGAAAATTTCTGTTCCCTCTTTAAGGGCACTAACATTATTTGTGAGGGCTCCATCCTTATGAACCCATTAACTTCCCGAAGTCCTCACACCCCAATACTGTCATATTGGAAGTTAGGATCTCAATAAATAATTGTTCATGGTACATACACATTCAGTTCATAGCACACATTTATATAGCTATCTTTAGAGCATGTACATAATATATAATTTCTAAGTTAGTTACTCTTTATAATTTGGGGTGCATACTGAAAATTCTGTTATTGATGGAGTTTATACACTTTTCAGACAACAAATTAAAGGAGTTCTTCTGAAACATCATTGGCACGTCAGAAAGACAGAGTAAAACCTGTTGAACTGATTGCAATAATTTTATATAGCCAAGTTCTATTTTCCCTATTTAAACAGTCCAACTTGAATACATTACCCCCTAAAAAGAGCCCTTCAAAGCAGACACTGTTCAAAGCAGGGGCTGTTCCCAAGCATCTGTGCTGGTCCTCTAGTGACTAATCAGTGGTTAGAATACATCTTTTGGGATTATCTGTGAATTGTTAGCATATATCATGACTCTAAATCTTCATCCTTTCTTGGAATTTTGATCTTTAGAAATAATGAGATCATTTGGAACCAAGGCAATGAATACAGGATGTGATAAAAATGTCATTATGTACTTATTTTCCTTCTGTCAAAAAATACCATAGAGGAATGGAATTGCTTTTTCTTAATTGACTCATGCACTGACTCCAAAAGCAAAGCCAAGAGCAGATTTCTCCGACTTCTCTGCAGAGGGGTCACTGATGAACCCACTGCCTTTGGAAGGTCACTGATCTGCTGCTTGTTCACATGTTAATGTTAAGGGCGTCATTTTTGTCATTTCCAAGTGTTACCTAGAAAACTTTATCAAAACAAAGGGGTTTCTCCATGCTTCATGATGCATAAGACAGCTCAGAATAGGAAAGTAGGGAGTAAAGCAAGGAGAAGAAAGAAGCTAACTTTTCTTTATTGCTGCCATTGTGCCAGGCAGGAAGCAACATGCAGCTGGAAAGTTAGCTTGTCTCCTCAGTGTGTGGAGGAAATGTGCTTGGAAAGGTGTGCAATAGGGGCAGTGAATCACTGGAAGGGATTAATGTCGAGCTCTGGCTATTTGACCCTAGATTAAAAACGTCTTCCCCTTACATCACAGGATGTCCACTATCTACCAGAATTGTACTATATACATATGTATAATTACCTATATTATAATTATATATAATCCTTAAATGAAACAAAAACATGGATGTCTCATATAGGCATTTGTGTAATTTCTTTAAGTTGTAATAATCTGCATTGTTGTTTTTATTTTGGACATTGGGATGTTTTTCCATCAAGAGGTAAAACTGAAGAGGTTTTCAGTAAATTGGACTATGGCAGATAGTATCAATAACGAGTTTTCGTGCAGAATGTGAGAAGAATCATAAACTTGCTCCCATCATCTGGCACAGCCAATATTTTGGCATATTAGAAGCAGGAAGAGTGGTGGTTGAGGGGAGAAGTTTTAAGTCAAATGAACTGTTTGAAAATCCAGTTCTGATGCATATAGCCTTCTGATGTTGGAGAATTACTTAATTCCTCAATCCTGATATCTGCACAATGCTAATAAGGGAACCATCTCAGCAACGAATACGAGTTAAAGATACAACATGTCTGGAGGGTTTAGCAGAACACTCATTGTCAATTAACATGAGAACTAAGAGGTGTAGTGGCTTTCGGAAACACCATCCCTTACTTTTAACAATTGTTCTGCTGTAGTTGACAGTGACACAAATTTCACACAAGAGGAAACTGGGATGATGAAGGCTTTTTTGTTGTTGTTGTTCATGAGGCTTGAACTCGGGGCTTGGGCGCTATCCGTCAGCTCTTCAGCTCAAGGCGAGCGCTCTACTGCTTGAGCCACAGTACCACTTCCAGTTTTCTAGTGGTTTATTGGAGATAAGAGTCTCACAGACTTTCCTTGCCCAGACTGGCTTTGAACCATGATCCTTAGATCTCAGCCTCCTCAGTGGCTAGGATTAAAGGCGTGAGCCACCGGTGCCCAGCTTGATGAAGGCTTTAAGTTGCTTGATCAAGGCCACAGAATGACAGATGATGACACATAGACAGGAATCCAGGTTAGTGTCCTTACAAGCCATGTTCTTCATACTATTATTTCTCTGGAAGAAATATTGTTATTTACTGAGAGGGAGTCAGTTACAATTGACCATATATAGAACAATGCTTTTACTCAGATTTGTTCAAGAAAATTAAAGTGAAAATGTTTCTTAGGCCATTTTTTCCCTAATCAAAATGAAAATATTCTTACTGAATTCCCTTAAAACATAGACTGCCTTATTGAGTAATTATTTATAGCTTCCTTAATAGTCACTTTATCATTGATATACTTAAAAAAATCGGTCATATGACCTGAATTCAGGGCCTGGGTACTATCTTTGAGCTCTTTTACTCAAGGCTAGTGTTCTACCACTTTGAGCCATAGCTCTCCTTCTGGTTTCTGAGTGGCTAATTGGAGATAAAAGGACTTTTCTGTCAGGGCTGGCTTCAAATCGTGATCCTCAGATCTCAGCCTCCTAAAAAGGTTGGATTATAGTCATGAGCCATCGGTGCCTGGCATTGTCATGCTTCTTAATGACAGTAAAGAAATTGCCATTGGCTTTTTTTTTGTGAAAATACTGTACAGAGGGGTTACAATTACATGGGCAAGATAATGAGTACATTTTTTATCAAGCATTGTAGCCTCCTCCTTTGTTTCCCCTTCCCATCCCTTCCCATCCTCTCCCCCCAC